GATCTTCTGTTCATCCATAACCATGCTCTATACCGACACTTCACGTTTAAGGAGTAACCGGTCCGATTTCGTTGAAAAAAATTTTATATGTGCACTATTTGTTGTTGATAGAACTTGTTGGGTCCAACTTGAGTTGCTCTTATCAACATGATTAACTGATGTTGCTTTTGAGATTATGTTTGATTTACTACTGTTCGTCTATATTGTTTCATTTCTTAAAAAGTACAATCAAAACTGTATGTTACTTGGGTTAAACTTAGATCATGCATGTTTTATTGGTGATCAAATTTAATTTTGAATCGCCATTCGAAGAGAAACTTTAGGTTTGTTGGTGAAGATTGATTAGGAAAATTCAAAATTTGAAGTTTAGCAATCATCTAATGAGTAGAGAACTCTTTTAGTGTGCTATAGATAGACATCTCATATTTTCATTTCTCACAAACCAAACAGATATAAACGACTAGAAGATGATGTTTTTTTCCAAAGACTTGTGAAAGTCTGAGCGAATAAAGGAAAATGAATGTTCTTTGAAGTCATTCCAATTAACCATTTAATAATGAATCGAGAGATCAGTCACTTTTTGCCGTTTTCCATCAGTCCAAAAGATTTTTTGGATTAGTCGAACCGTCTAGATTGTACCAATTCAAAAACTGTCGACTGCTTACAACTCGAGGTTGGTCCCTATTTTTATAATCGGGAAGTTAGTAGATGGATCAGAAACAAGGATCTTTACAAAACAAGTATTCCAAGTAGGACCAACGAAAAAAGTCGACCGAACCGGGCTAGTCGAAAATTTCTTTCTATTAATTCAATGGAGGAGAAATTCGTATTGATTAGTATTATTATGATGCAAACAATAACGAAGAAATAAAGCAATTGTTTCCAAAAGATAGTATTATGCACACAGTGGCGGACGTAAAATATGGGAAAAGGTGTGCTATCATGGTCACAAAATGCGTTTTGAAATCTAATCGTTATTGCACGCACAATAATCGGACTTTAATGACTAATGTTTTTCCACTTATGAGACCGGTTCACATTTTTCAGAACAAATCGAATCAAAGCCATCTCCGATACGTCAATTGAAGAGAATCTCTATCATAATGCAAGCTTATCTGTAGAGAAGTATATGAAACTTTCTGCTAATAGTTTTTGAGTTGAATATTGTTGAAGAAATCAAAATTTAGCCGCAAAAATTTTGACAAGAAATATTTTCTCTATAACATAAGACTATTCAGAAAATGATCAAATTTTGGATGCGCCAATTAGAGTATCGAAGATAATAAATATTATCTTTGAATAATCTCTGTGATAACTTTGTTATAATATTTTTATTAGATCACTGAGACATTACAAAAGGAACGTGAACGTTTATCGGATATTATTCGACAAGAATTTGCTGATCGACTTGTATTAACTGAAGAAGAAAATCGTCGTATCAAAGGTGATATGGCAGAATTACGTGCACGACAACAAATAGAACTAGACAGGAAAAAAGAAGAAATTGAATTGTTACAACGAGAAAAAGAAAAAGAATTAGAAACTGTACATGAAAAGTAAATTAATAATTTCAATCTAATTTATTTAATACAATTTCTTTATTACTTTTTTTCTTTCTTAAGAATAAAGCAAGCAATTAGTAAAAAAGATGAACAAGTACAAGCGTTACGTGGTCAATTCGAAGCTGCAGTTAAACGAGCTGATCATCTTGAAGGTTTATTAGCACAACAAAGAAAACTAATTGCTGCAGCACCTTCAAATAGCAATAGTGCATCAAAGAAAGCACTACCATCTTGATATATTTGTACAGTGTACTCATAGCCAGATATCTTAAAACACCTGTTTTGTTTTTGTATCTTATATTAATAACAGAAAATAAAACTCGTGGATTCTACTGAATACATTTAACAGTTCATGTTAAAAGATTTTAATATGCGAATGATAAGAAAACTGAATGCTTTTACATTTAGTGTTTCGATATGAAAACAATTCAGAAACTCAGAATAGAAAAGAAAATTTGTCTTATAGGTTCTTGAAAACTTTAACATTTTCAACACTGAATAATCAGAGTGTGGGTGTGTTTGTACCCAGTGAAAAATATGTCTAAAAATAACGGAAGAGAACGCATTCATAAAAATGTAGAGGCTTGACTTTTACATGAAGAATGTGTTCCACAGCTTAGCGAGCATTTTTACAAACAAAAAGAAAAGTTCTAAGTCTAAGGGAACTCATTCTTTACTGTTCCACACTAGTAGGGAATGCTTTCTTCTCAGTTCAAAAATCGTTCTCTATCTGGATAGAAAGCGTTCTGTGCCGTTCCATGAGCCAATAGAACATGTCTCTGCCCATTGTATTTCGAAACAGTCAAGATAGAATTCCATCGAATTGAGACCGCTGTTTTTTAATATTCTCTTGAGAAACATCTGAGAATGGATTCTTTTGACTGATGAACGCTTTCATCTGAATTTAACATCATTTTTTATTCAAAAATGACAGCTCTGAAGTATGACACCCTGAAACTTGTGCCAAAAATGGTGGAACCTTCACTTAGTCATACTTTACAACTGGCAGTTCTGATTCCAAAAAGTAACCTTTTGTTTTGAGAAAAGAAAACGTTCCAAAAAAGCTGGAACAGTTACGAACGCATTCCAAAAAACATGGAATGTGTTCTTAATGGCTCCATTTTGGGACGCTTTCCACTTTTTTGGAACGTCTTCTCTTCTTAAAAAAAGGCTTTTAATTTTACGGAACGCGTTTTCCCCGTTCTTTGAAGCAAATATTTTTCACTGGATAGTAGCTTTGAAAACAGTCATTTCTAGAAATTTTCATATATTAGCCGTAATTTGATATAAAATTTTTAGGGTGTGGGTGGGTGTGGGTGTGTGGGTATGGGATGTGGGTGGGGGCATGGTTTTGGGTGTTACTGTTCTCTTCACCTATACTCACACCCACGCTCACACCCGTCACACGCACACGCACACCCACACCCACCCGCAAACGTTAACGGCACTCGTCCATTTACGGAAGTCGTTAGCGGCGATTGTTGACAGTGACCATTTCATGGAGCGCTTTCGGCCGTCGTATACGGAGTCATACGGCAAACGTTAATGGCACTCGGCCATTTACGGAGGTCGTTTACGGCAATTGTTGACGGTGGCCGTTTACGATGATCGTAATTCATCGGAAATAATCGTTTACTACGACAGTAAACGGTTGTCGTATTTCGCCGTGAATGATCGGTATACGACCGTTTACGACCGATGGTGTTCGATCTGGGTACTTGCATATTTATTTTGAAAGTATTCGCTGTGCATTAAATATTTGGAAAAAAGAACACGAAGCATTTTTCGACAGTATCACTTTATCATCAACTATGCGCTGTTTTATTGTACACTTAAAATTAGTGTATGTTATTTTCTTTCTGACTTATGTTAACATAAAACTTTATCTTATGGAGTCCAAAGTGTATCCAATCACAATTGTAGTTTTTGTGTGACATGAATCATTGAGAATCCTTGAGTATACTGAATGAGTCAATAAATATTTTTCTTCATTATTATATTGACAATATTATTATGATTCAAGACCTTAAAATCATTATTTTCTCTTTCTATTGTTTGCTTCTGAATCATTACTCATTTTAAAGATATTTTCCGGTATGTGTGAGAATAGAAAAGTAGCATATGTAAGTAAATCACACAATACTTGATTTTTCAGTTCCTTTCACTTTCTATGAACAAACAGAAAATAAATATATATGCTTCAATCGAAAATCGAATCCAAGATACGATAACTGGTTAACCAGACCAGTGCTCTAACCATTGAGCTATCGAAGCACGACGAACACAATATTTTTATTTCTGAATAATATTTAATCATCGAAAGTGAAAAATCAAGTATTGTATGATTTAGTTACATATACTGCTTTTCTATCCTTACACATGTATTTACTCTTGATAAGAGGAGAACATTTATGATCATGCTTACAAGGTTAGAAATAGCGTCGCTATATCCATGTACGTCGTATACATCTTATCGACGAAAAATCCTTTCGATGATTAAATATCATTCAGAAATAAAAATATTGTGTTCGTCGTGCTTCGATAGCTCAATGGTTAGAGCACTGGTCCGGTTAACCAGTTATCGTATCTTGGATTCGATTTTCGATTGAAGCATATATATTTATTTTCTGTTTGTTCATCGAAATTGAAAGGAACTGAAAAATCAAGTATCGTATGATTTAGATATTTTCCGATAATTTGAAACCGAAAATGATATTATTTTAAGTATGACTCTTCTCATACACTGCTCGAGTATGAATATTCAACACGTATGAGTGAAACTTATTAGTTTTAAATTTCGCATCTGAATCTATATCTTAGGAAGCACCTGTAGAAAACAAGTAGATCAAATGTTTTCTTCCAATGTTTGTACGAAAGCAGAAACATTTTTAGACGCATTTTTGTCCGTAGAATATATTATACTACATTTATGCGGTTTGCGTGCAGAACAAAAACTATTAAAATTTTGGCTGTCTATTTTAGGTTCTTATCAAACAATTGTTTGCCAAGAGATCGAGTTGTATATCTTCGATAGAAAACTATTTCAATTAATCATAATCTTTCAAGAAGTATATAATATTAATGGCTTTATGCTCACGTTATTGTTCTGCCAGTCCATTTTCTTCGTTAGGGAACGATCGAGAAAACTTTCGTCTTATTTGCTGCAATTCCAATAGAAACGACTTTTACAGCAATATAAGTTTGGTAGAAAAAATATCGTTTATCGATAATTATTGCGTACCATTCAAAGATTTAGACACATGTGTCGATTATATTACAGATTTTAAAGATGAACAAATATTTTTAATTATTTCTGGCTCAGTAGAAGATGAAAAACTTATTCCTCTTCTAAATCCAATACCACAAATCAATTCAATTTATTTACTATTATGCGAAGATACTTTCAAACAAGTACAAAATTACGAAAAGTTTCGTGGTATGTTTACTGATATCGATGCGCTTAGTGAAAGATTAAGAAAAGACATTGAACAATATTCATATGAATCATTATCAATAAATTCAATATCATCATCTGATGTAAACTTTACTACTCATGCTACTAATCTAAATCAACAAGAAGCATTTTTCATGTATTCCATATTGATTCGTGATATTTTAGTTGATATGAAACGGAAAAGGAATTCTATCCAAGAAATGATTACATTTTTTCGTCAGCAAAATGCTGGTCAATTCACTACAATCGATGAATTCGAAAAAAACTATTCTCCGAATAAAGCAATTTGGTGGTATACACGTGATTGTTTCATTTATGAAGTTTTAAATCAAGCAGTAAGAACACTTGACATTGGTACACTGTACAAAATGCAACCTTTTATTAAAGATCTTCATCATCAAATAAAATCAAGTTGTCTCTCATCGACTATCACGACTGTCTATCGAGGACAAGCTATGCGAAGCGAAGAATTTTATAAACATAAAAATAATATTGGTGGTCTTTTATCAATCAACAATTTTTTATCGACAAGTACTGATAAAGAAGTTGGTTTAGCTTTTGCATTTGCAAATATGAATCGTCCATGTTACGAAGCAATTTTATTTGAAATCGAAATCAATCAATCAGCACATCATATTTCGGTTGCTAATATAGAAAATTTTAGTTATTTTCAAACTGAAAATGAAGTTTTATTTTCCATGTGTTCGGTATTTCGAATTAAATCGATTATAAAAATGGACAATGGTATTTGGAATTTTCAAGTAACATTAACCGGAGATGAAGACAAACAATTAAAAGCGTTAACTTTGTGTATGAAAGAAATAATTGGTAATAATAATACATTGGGAACTTTA